GCCAGATAATGGGGAATCAAAATCTGCAGAGGGGAAAGCAGGTGACTACATTGGAGAGGCTTGGCTCTTGTATTTGTCTGTTCTCGTGGTGCTATAAAGAAATACCTGAGCCTGGTAATTTCTAGAGAAAAGAGGTTTAATTGGCTCATAGTTCTGCAAGCTTTACAGGAAACAGTGGCTTCTGCTTCTGGGGCAGCTCCAGGAAGCTTCCAGTCATGGCGGAAAGCAAAGGGGGAGCGGGTACTTCATACAGCTGGAACAGGTGGAAGGCTGGGGGAGGTGCTATGCACTTTTTTTTTTTTTTTTTGAGATGGAGTTTCACTCTTTTTGCCTAGCCTGGAGTGAAGAGGAGCAATCTCAGCTCACTGCAACCTCCACCCTCTGGATTCAAGCGATTCTCCTCTCTCAGTTTCTCCAGTAGCTGGAAATATAGGTACCTGCCACCATGCCCAGCTAATTTTTGTATTTTTAGTAGAGACAGGGTTTTACCGTGTTGGCCAAGCTGGTCTCGAACTCCTGACCTCAGGTGATCCACCCAATAGGCGTGAACCTCCATGCTTGGCCCACATACTTTTAAACAACCAGATCTTTTGAGAACTCTATCACGAGAACAGCACTAGGGAGATGGTGCTGAGCCATTCCTGATAAACCGCCCCCATGATCCAGTCACTTCCCTCAGGCCCCACCTCCAACACTGGGGATAACAATTTGACATGAGATTGGGAGATTTGGGCACAAATCTGAACCATATCAGCTCTGTTTTTCTGACATGACTTGCCCTAAATACATAGATAAACTTTACATGGATACAAAGCCATGGGCAGACAATAGTGAAACAATTTGGCCATGTGTGGCTCACAACTGTAATCCCAGCACTTTGGGAGGCTGAGGCAGCTAGATAGCTGGAGGCCAGGAATTCGAGATGAGTCTGGGCAACATGGCGAAACCCCATCTTTTTAAAAAAAGAAAAAGAATAAAATTAGCCGAGCATAGTAGCACTCACCTGTGGTTGCAGCTACTTCGGAGGCTGAGGCTGGAGTATCACTTGAACCCAGGAAGCAGAGGTTACAGTGAACTGAGATTGTGCCACTGCACTTCAGACCAGAGCGAGACTCTGTCTCAAAAAAAAA